TCCCACCAAGTTGTACCCTCAAACAATTTACCGCTCAACTTGCACCCCTCGACCTGCCAAACATAGTGCAAGAGGTTGTCAAATTACCAACGGCCACAGTTCCCCCTTGTTACCAACGGCCACAGTCCACTGCCGCACTAGGTTTCTCATCAAGTCTTTGATTTCGTGATTTGTTTTGACTTCTGAAGCGGCTAGCCTCCATTTTTGAAGCCGCAATTGCATATATATAAGGGGGACGTAGATATGTAATCGAAAGCCACTTTACATGTTTATATGAAGATGGGTTTCATTTTGTTTTGCTGATATATACGAGATAAGTTTTATAACATACTACTTTACTACGAGTACATTAGATTTACTAACGTAAAAAGGATAACTAAAGTAAAAGGGTTAAATGATTGTGTTGGCCTGTTGGGATCCGATTCCCCTTTGCCCCCTGTTCTTTCCTTTCTGTTTTCAGTGAACGAATTGAATTTACCCCACATTTGCGTCATTTTCCTCTTTTCTTTCCTTTCCCAGAAAGAATTGGAAAACAATAACATACCTAATTAACTTGGAAACAAGGGGAAAAGTGAGAAGATTGTTAGTACATATAGGAACTTGATTAGCGGGTTATGTCAAATTTATGAAATCTCAAAAGGCTTCAGATTAATTAACGGTAAAATAATAATAACAAATAAATATTGAATTGGTAAAGTTGTGTGCTCTCAAACTCCTAATTACCCCACATTTGGTTCCCTTTCCTTTTTGGAAGCTTCTCTAGCGTAAATCCTTTTGTAAAAGCAACAAGATATAGAAAAGAAGATGACATAATGATTGTGGATGTGGAATCTTGTCACCAACACAACCAAGATTTCAGAAAAACCCCCCACACGGTACTTAATTAGCGCATCTACGTAGTTCTTGGGTCATCTCGGGTAAATTTGACAAAAAACTTTACATTCATTATCGAGTTAATACATGATAAAACAACTAAGCATATAATCAAACCATACATACGAAAAAATTAATGATAAAGAATGCAGGCAAATAATTGAAACTATCATTGATTTCTTTTAATAGGGAATTGAAATTATCATTGACGAGTCAATCTAACATGTGAACGCACCAATGTACATTTTCCGTCGGAACTAAAAAGATCATTGATTAGAAATGATAATATCGACTTGATTTATTTGTATTTGATTTATTTTTTTATGTGTGGTTTTGTTATATCCCATTGTTTTATCAATGTTAATCCGAATTGAATGCGACTTTCTAACCAATAACCGTATGGAAAGGATCCTTAATTGAACCTAGCTGTCCTTTAGATTCAAAAATAATCATGGCTCATTAGTTTTCAGTTTTCACAGTACAAACCAATTCTCTTGATAAGAGCAATGCGTGGAAATAGGGATGGCAAAAATATCCGTAACCGTGGATATCCGCCCGAATCCGCCCTAGTCGGGTAGGGTAAAACCCGAACCCGAAAGACATTTAGTGGGTACGGGTAAAACCCGAACCCGAATATTGCGGGTAATGGATGGGCATGGATTTCTCACTATCCGACCCGAACCCGCCCGATTATACACATGCATATGTATTTTGTCTAGAAATAATCATTATTTTTCTCTAACATATTTTATATTTAGCATATAAATCTAACATTTTCATGAAATTGTGTTGTTTTAGTTAATTTTCTTCATTCTAGTGAATTCTTGTCGTACTTTTTCTCTTACTTAATATAAGAATACGTGTGAATGTTATCATATTTGTTGGAGTTATGAAGAAAAATTAATATCCATGGATAACCGTGGATACCCGAAACCCGAACGGGTATGGGCATGGTTTTGATTTTCTACCCGTTTCACATGTGGGTATGGGTATGGGTAAAACCCGAAGTACTTTGGGTAGGGTAGCGAATATGCACTATCCGCCCCCGACCCGACCCATTGCCATCCCTACGTGCAATTGTGTCGATAGAAAGACAGCCGTTAGTTAATTATAGATAGTTAGCGACAGTAAACCAAAGTACAAGAAGGAAGGATAATATTTAAAAAAAAAAATAGAAGTGAGTGAGAGGCCGAAGTAGGAGTCTGCCACCGAATATTATTCACCTAATTACTATCTAGTATCTACCAGCAAGTAACAAGTTAATATACTTCGGCCGTGTTTAGGGTTGCTGTCATCTGCCGTTTCATCATTTGAACGTCATTCTTGAGGAATCGTTTAGTGAGTTATTGACAAATGCTATTGGTTCTTTCACCAATAATTAACATGTAATATGAAAGACATTATAATTAATAATAAGTAACATAATGAGAGGCCTCAAAATGAGAAATTATCTATTTACATCAGTGAAGTTTATCAAAATTTTTTTTTTTTTGATGAATTAGTTTATCAAAATTTATGTTGATGCTTGATTTGAAGAAAAACGTAAAAAAAATGTAGAGAAACAGTTCCAGAGTGGAGAAATCAGGATTGAGAGCGATGGAAGGTGGATAAGGTAAAATTTTCAACATTCAAAATTCACAAATAAATTATTGCTTATTTTTAAGTTAATTAAATTTGCCAAAAGCTGTTTTATTGACGGACTAAAAATCGATCATTCCAATAGGATCATAAGTTTTTTTTAATTGTTTTGACTCTCACCTAATATCAATAATATTTCTTTTAATTTTTTGCCAGTTATCGGTTGAAAAAAACTCAATTATATCAACCAATCATACAATTGGTTTGCCCGTGCTCGATATAAGTAAGTAGTCAAACCATTTGAATATATGAATGACAACGGGTTCGGGTGGTCCGGTTTTCTCATATACCATTCTCGAACCACGACTTTAAAATCATAACTATCTCCATAACCAAAAGTACGAGGGATGTAATTTGACATACCATAATCAACCCGCATGTGGTTAGGGGAAAACCCACCCAAAAATCTATGAAGTTTTCAGTATAATCTAAAATTGGTCTTCAAATGTCAATTTTAATAGAAATTTCTTTATCGCATTGTTTGTAAATTTGGAGGAAACGAGAAAGATTTGAGTGATAAGAGATAATTAAATGTTCGAGATATACAGATGAACAAAGTATATGAGTGAGTGTATCGTAGAACATAGTTATAACTTATAACACATTTTCGGATGGGTTCGGTACTAATACTTTAAATAACAAAATCGCACCAAATCCATTACCTTTCTTATTTGGATTCGGAAAAAAATACATGAAAAAATAATATCGGTCAAATTTTCTCAAACAATATCAATTTGAATTTCGTTGGATACACAAGTCACAATATATGCCCTTATTTTGCCATCTTGTGGAAGGAAATCAATGAGTCTCACTTCCTTTCCTTTTTCTTTACTTTCCAAAATCCGTTTGATAAAGGGAAAAGGGGAAACTGGAAATGTACAGCTAGCGGTGGCGAATCATTCATGGACGGTGTCACGATTATTATGGCTTACCATTAACCACACACTCAAATGTAAAAGCAAATCAAAAGCGGCGAGAAGTCACGTTATCGAGAGAAGTTTCTCACCATCTCACAACAACAACAACAACAACAACGTTATCCAATTGTCGATAAGGTTAAACCTATTAATTAGTCTGAGTAGGCGCAAAAGCGCGGCTGACTCAGCTTTCCTCATCATCAACACATAAAATTTTATCCATCAAACCTCGAGCAGATAATCTGTAAAGTAGTACTTCACCGACTTCTGGTTGGGTTTTAATGCAAGCAAGAAGAAGAGGAAAAAAGGAAGCTGAATAAAATAAAATAAAAACTGCTTGCAGAAGTATATTGTAGAATCATATAAGAAGTGATGATTGGAAAATTTAGTGGTATAGTATTTTGTCTTGAAATCATGAGTTGATTGTTTCATGTTGTTAAGAACTGTTTATTGATTTAAACCCCGGTAAAAAAAAAATCCACCGTCGATCGATACGGTATTATTTTACAAACATGGTATTTAATAATATGCCATTTTTGGACGCAGGTAATAATAGGAACACACCCATAAACAACATTTCTTGTAAAATTGGCAGACAAAATATCTTACTAAAATTAAATATGTCATTTCATTATCTTCTTATACACGCAAATAGTACATCCACACCCATTTAATTCAAGACGAAATTAAAAAAAAAAAGTGAAATCAATAAGAACTCTATAAATAAACACGTGTCTCCACTTCTTTGAAATTCAAATACAACGCTCTAAATTTTTCGTAATTACGATCCTCTTTTCATTCTTCTGTAAGCGATCTAATTTATATCACGGGTTTTCGCCGCATAATGCTAATACAGAAAGGGAAATATGTATAAAATCTCATTAATCAGTTTGTAAAAGGGAAATTGTTTTTCCTGATTACGTGGATTTCTCATTGTCCATTAACATGCATGTTCTCACTTATTAACACCTTTTTTCCAAGTCAGAATTTCAATCGAGCAAATATTAATTTGGTTTACAGACAAGCAAAGGGTCAAGTTGGGAAGATATATAGTCGTCGTCCCTACCACCACTAGATAGAGAGTTGTCATTATTATTTTTTATTATTGTTCACAAGAAATTAATTTCCACAATCGTGTGAACTCAACCCCAGCCCAGCTACATGGGACTATCCGACGGTAGATAGATATCTTATTCTTATGGCGAAGACTTTGCACTTTGCCCCTCCAACTTCCCCTTATTTGCCCTCACATCCCTCCCCACCATTTCTTCACAATAACACCCTTACATTTTACATAATGAAACTCCAATATAACTTCGTACATAAACCGATAAGCTAAACATATAAACATTGAATTACAATAAAACGTAGAAATGTTCGATGAACTTACCCGATAAAACTAAAGTTTAAGATTACAACGACGAAATGTATCGGAACAACTATCCGTTTGAACACCTTTCTTCCAAAAAAGCAAACAAAGAAAGAAAGAAAAAAACTACTCAATTAGAACCGAGGGGTGGAAAAAAAGATAAAGAGGATAATCATAAAATAATTATTACGACAGCTGGAACAGGAAGAAGAGGGAAAGAATTATATGACCTTGCTCCCCCATTCATTTTTCTATAAATACACTACTCCGCCATTACCACTCTCAACTTCTCATCTCATTTTCTCCCTCCTTCGACTTGGGAAAAAGAAAGGGGAAAAAAAAAAATTACTCTCGAATCACCGGCGAAGAGAAAAATGCCGGCGGCAGGGATCGCTCCCGGTGGCTCCGGGAAGGAGTACCCGGGGAACCTCACCCCTTTCGTCACCGTCACTTGCGTCGTCGCCGCCATGGGCGGGCTCATCTTCGGCTACGACATCGGAATTTCCGGTACGTAAAAAAACAAATGGCGACAGATTTTCAATTCCGTCGCCAAAAGAAAAAAAAAGAGAACTTATTTCTTTCTTTCTTTCTTTCTTGTCGTTTCTGTTGTTGTTGCTGACGTGGCGCTTGTTCATTGGGCAGGTGGGGTGACGTCGATGGATTCCTTCCTGCTCAAATTCTTCCCGTCGGTGTACCGGAAGAAGCACGCCGACGACACCGTCAACCAGTACTGCCAGTACGACAGCCAGACGCTCACCATGTTCACCTCGTCGCTCTACCTCGCCGCTCTCCTCTCGTCGATCGTCGCCAGCACCGTCACCAGGGTCTTCGGCCGGAAGCTCTCCATGCTCTTCGGCGGTTTGCTTTTCTTCGCCGGAGCCCTGGTCAACGGCTTCGCCCAGGCCGTCTGGATGCTCATCCTCGGCCGCATCCTCCTCGGTTTTGGCATCGGCTTCGCCAATCAGGTAAAAAGAAAGAAAGAAAAAAATAAAACATTTCTCCCCCACTTTTAGCGACCAAATTTAATCCGCCGATCTAGTGGTTGTAATTAATAAATAATCACGTCATAAAAGTTTAAATATCATATCTTCTATTTCCTTTCACATCATAATCACGCTATTAAATCAAAATTTCTAAAAAAACTACTCATTTTCTTACTTACCCATAAGTCAAAAGTTCAAAACTAAGTGAGCACACTCTTCACCTACCCAGACAGTAAATTTTTTCTAATAATCATGACAAAACTGAAGCCAAATCTGTAGACTTTTTCTTCCCCAATTTCCATTATTGATTGAGTATTTATTTTAATTTATTGTATATTTCGTCACTACTTGTAATTATTATACTTTTTGAAACACAAACTTTCTTTGTCATTATTTTACTTCCCCATCACATAATTTTTATTCCTGACGTCCCTCTGACACCCACCCACCATTTCCCCGCAAAAGTTTACTTCTGGACGCTATCAAACGGCGTTTGTGGTCCTCTTTTGTCACAAATCAGAAATTAATTTGACCCAAAAATTGTCGCAATCCCTCCCTCGTCGTTAATTACCAATCGCCACCCTGTTTCTCCCCTTTTGTCCATTTTAGTCCAGCAACTTATGATTTGATTCCATTAATGTGAATTTGATTACAGTCGGTGCCGCTCTACTTGTCGGAGATGGCGCCCTACAGATACAGGGGATCCCTGAACATCGGCTTCCAGCTCTCCATCACCGTCGGCATCCTCGTCGCGAACGTCCTCAACTTCTTCTTCAACAAGATCAAGGGAGGCTGGGGATGGCGCCTCAGCCTGGGAGGCGCCATGGTCCCAGCCCTGATCATCACAATCGGCTCCCTCGTCCTGCCCGACACCCCGAACTCGATGATCGAGCGCGGGCAGACCGAGGAGGCCAAGACGAAGCTCCAGCGCATCCGCGGCGTCGAGGACGTCGACGAGGAGTTCGACGACCTCGTCGCCGCCAGCGCGCAGTCCAAGCTCGTCGAGCACCCCTGGACCAACCTGCTGCAGAGGAAGTACAGGCCGCATCTCGCCATGGCCGTCTGCATCCCCTTTTTTCAGCAGCTGACCGGAATCAATGTGATCATGTTCTACGCGCCCGTGTTGTTCAACAGCATCGGATTCGGCGACGATGCCGCGCTTATGTCGGCGGTGATCACCGGAATTGTGAATGTTTGTGCCACCATGGTGTCGATTTACGGTGTGGATAAGTGGGGGAGGAGGTTTTTGTTCCTCGAAGGTGGTGTTCAGATGTTGATTTGTCAGGTACGAATTACGAATTTGTCGTCGTCACGTTACTGCTAGGCCAATTTCGTGGATTTTTTTTCGTGCGATTTCGAGTTAATTTTGATGGGAATTTGATTAATTCGAATTGTCATGTACGAATTTTCGATCGTCACATTACTGCTAGGCCAATTCGTTGAATTGATAGTTCGATTCGAGTTAATTTTGATTGGAAATTTGTGGGTTTTTTTGGTGGGATTCAGGTTGTGGTGGCGGCGTGCATCGGGGCGAAATTCGGAATCGACGGAAACCCAGGGGATCTGCCGAAGTGGTACTCGATCATCGTCGTGCTGTTCATATGCATCTACGTGGCGGGTTTCGCGTGGTCGTGGGGCCCGTTGGGGTGGCTGGTGCCGAGTGAGATCTTCCCGTTGGAGATCCGATCGGCAGCGCAGAGTGTGAATGTGTCGGTGAACATGATCTTCACGTTCGCGGTGGCGCAGATTTTCCTGATGATGCTCTGTCATTTGAAGTTCGGGTTGTTCCTGTTCTTCGCGTTCTTCGTGGTGGTGATGTCGATTTTCGTCTACTTCTTCTTGCCGGAGACGAAGGGGATTCCGATCGAGGAGATGGGGCAGGTGTGGAGGTCGCACTGGTACTGGTCGAGGTTCGTGGAGGCGGAGGCAGGGCATGGGAATGGGAATATGGAGATGGCTGCGAAAGTTGTATGATTGTGGTTTGAATGGGATTGATGGGGAATTGAGGGACTGATTGTGAAATTTGGATCTATATACTTTGCTTTTTTTGGAGGGTTTTGAAGGGGATGTACTTGGGTTTGAATTTGGTTTAGTAGTGGTACATAAATTGTATTTGACTTTCAAGATGAATGCAAAATACCTATTTTGGAAAGTGAGATTTTCTAAGATTTGGGGAGAATTTGAGGAAATTTTCAATATGGTATCTTTCCTTTTCATCAATGTGGTGTGATATGAGAGTGTTTATATTATAATTTTACACATCAAATGATTGTTATGAGATGCTTATTTTGTAATTGGTTATTTTATACTTTAATTTTTTTTACAATCGGGAGATTAAATTTAAACGAGCCGACGTTATTGTGCAATTGAATTTCAATCAAGAAAGATTAGCAATGGTATGAGAAAAACCTTTATTTTGAGGTTTGTCAAATTAAAGTTTTATTGTTGTGAATACGAGTGGCCAAACCAACAATCATTTCATTTTTAACCTCTATCAATATTTAGCAGGTAGCATATAGCATTATAGTATTTTTTTTTTTTTTGGGACAAACATGATACTCGTATCATTCACAGCACCCAAAAGACTGGGACAGAGTTCAAACAAAGATAAGACTCTACAAAACCCAGTAACTAGAACTACACAGGAGAGAAACAAAAGTCGAACAAGAAGGCTACAAAAAAACTCGCTATCCAGCCCGGAAGTAAAGTGTCATTGCAGGCTCTTTTTGCAATAAGATCAGCCTCATTAACTGCACTTCTCGATTGGAAAACGACGTTACACCAGTCCGCCTCCTCTAAAATCCTTCGAATTGCCGCCATGGATGCTGCAAACTCAATCGGACATTCCTCAGGAGGCTTTCCAATAGCATCAACAACACACTTGCAACCTGAAATTATCAGAGGTGCCATCTCTTCCTGTGCCGCCATTTTGACAGCTTCAAGGATGGCGAAAGCTTCAGCAGTCGCCGGTGCTCTACAGTGAATTCTCTCAGCTCTCCCATCATAGATCTTCCCATGAGCATCCTTGATAATGATGCCAATGCCCGCCTTCTGGATATCGCTTCTGAAAGCGCCATCGCACAAAATTACCTTGTCGTAACTCCTCGGCGGAGGGCCAGAGTTTTGATGAGACTCCCCCAGCTGAGACGGATGAGCAGAATTTCCAGACTCCCTCGCAGATCTCCATCCTTCATATTCCTTCCCCGCACACACAGCGATAGTAACTGGGGAGAATGTTGCGTCCTCAAAGGAGTTTGAGTTCCTTGCTTTCCATATCTGCCATCCACAAAAAAACAGTTTGCATACTAATTGGGGAGATAAAGTATGCCTCATAGCAAACACCCAGCCCACTAGAGACATGTCTGGTGGTGGTAGCGCAATCCCCGGAATAAAATGTACCCATGCTGCAAGTGATGATGCACAGCGAAACAGAAGGTGATCCAGGTTCTCCGAAGTTGCTTTGCATCTTTTACATTCAGCATTAAGGACACATTTCTTCTTGAGAAGGTTTGCCATTGTTGGGAGTGCATTGTGTCCGCTCTTCCATATAAAGAATTTAAGCTTTGGAGGTAAAGACAGCTTCCACATCCACTTCCACATCTTCTCATCTTGAGCTGTGATTCCCGATTGGTCTTCTGAGAGAGAGTGTAGTCGATGATAACAAGATTTCACACTAAACTTTCCCTTTTTATCAAAGTTCCAAACCCATTTATCGTCAAGATCGTCAGGTCCAATAGGGATTCTCAGAATAGCATCAACAACATGAGGAGGGAAAACATCTGCTAACCTGTGAACATTCCATCTGTTGCCTGGTCGAACAATAAAATCTGCAACTCTGTAAGGGGATGGTGCTTCAGACGGGATCTTGAAACCCTCGAGATCTGGAATCCATGCATCATCCATCCATGTCTTCCTTCCATTTCCGATATTCTTCCGAAGACCCGTAACAAGAGCTTCCTTCCCCGCACAAATACTTGACCATATCCATGACGCATGAGATCCTTTCTTTGCCTCTAAGAACTCATTATGTGGAAAGTAAATACTTTTCAGCAGCCTAACCCATAAGCAATCTGGGTTTGTGAGCATTCTCCAGGCCATCTTTGCTAGGAGTGCTTGGTTAAAAAGTTTGAAATCCCTAAAGCCTAGACCTCCCCAAGCCTTTCTCCTTGTCAACACATTGTGAGCAGCCCATGAAAGGCCCTTCTTCTCAATCTGCCCTGTCCACCAAAATCTCCCAAGGATGGACTTCATTTTTTGAATAAGAGACATTGGCAGCAAAAAGCAAGAGAAGAGATAGGCTGGGACAGCCTTAATCATCACTTCTTTCCCTCCCGTAGACAACAAAAGAAATTTCCAAGACTTGGCCTTCTCCTCCAACCTTTCCACAATAAATCTGAAAGTTTCTCTACGAGAATTACCCCAATCCGCTGGCATTCCCAAATACTTTCCCAAAGAGATATCATCTGCAATTCCAAAAATGTGTCGAATCTCCTCCCTGATTGCAGAATCAGTGTTTTCTGAAAAAAGGATAGCTGATTTCTGCTTATTTATCTCTTGTCCTGAAAGATGACAATAGTCATTGAAGACTTCGATCAACTTCCTTGCTTCAGATGCAGCAGCCTTCCCAAAAACAACAGTATCGTCTGCAAAAAGAACATGAGAAAGAATTGGACTTCTTGGGTTGATCTTCATACCAGCCAGCTCTCCCTGGTGAATCTTCTTCAACAACGAGTGAGATAGAACATTTGAAACCAACAAGAAGAGAAACGGAGATAGGGGATCCCCTTGCCGTAATCCTTTAGATGGTGAGAAGAAAGGTGAAGGGATTCGATTCAACATCACAGACAGCCTTGCAGTCGTAACACACTCCATGATCCAGCCAATCCATTTACCTTCAAATCCCATAATCTCAAGAACAGCCCTCAAGAAAATCCATGAAACTTTGTCGTACGCTTTCTTCATATCAAGCTTCAATAAGAAATCTGCTCTATTTCCTTTTTTTTGTGTTTGAGGTAGTGGATGACTTCGTGCACAATCACGATACTGTCCTGGATGTATAGCAAAGGCTTGTAATCAATCTCTAATTCGTAATTGCTAAAACAAGGGGGAAAGGAAGATAAAGTAGTTATCAATTGCTTAGTTTAGTAGTCTCTAATGTCATTTGAGGCGATAATGCTACCTTAATTATATAATAGAAATGTAGGTTTTTATCATATGCGATTGCTATGGGCTCATCATATAAGTTACCTTTTCATTACCAAATTGAGAGTGTATTTCTTGAGAGATGTCAAACAAAAATGAAAAAACAAGAATTTGGCGTTAGGAATTTACAAGAGGAAATTGGGTAGAATAGAGAAGATGGTCGGTGACGTTAGGGAGAGGAGATACTGGATTCAGAGTTATAAAATATTAGGGTTTGAGATAAATAATTGGTTGATTCGACCAATCACTACACTTGAACATTTAACTGATTTAAAAATAAAAATACTCCACAAACAAAAAAGTCGAAAGACTGGAAAAGAAAATTTGAAGACGATAAACAATAATTTCACACCCGGAAAGATCCTTCCAACCTTCACCATTGAACACAAACCCTTTACTAGAATTATGATCCGCTGACCTTGCCATGAAATTTGAACGCGATTATGTCTCTTTTCAACTCATGAACTATAACCCAAAATATATCTAAGCATATGCTTGAGTGGATTAGAAGTAAAAGCTAGAAAGGAACATCCATTTTGGTATAGTGGATGAGAATCAAAAGCCCCCTTTTTGGCATGTGGTTTCAGAGAGGTGGGAGAACACAACCTGCTAGCTACCAAATCTCCTTCACAACTGTGAACGTTCTCTTGGAAAGCAAAAGGGGGAGTTTCGCTTTCAGTGACAACTAGCAAATCTCAACTGTCATTAAAGCCTTATGCAATAAAATCTTTTGTTGTAGCTACTACTGGATAACATAGTCCAGCCATATCTCCAGATAAATCATACCGAAAAGAAAGAAAGAAAGAAAGTAACAGGTTATCAGTTTTATGAAACAGAGCCCTAGAGGCAGAGTACTCTGTTTTTCTCAATAAGTGTAGGGTTACCGTCAAGACTCAAGAGAAGAGTGACGGGAGAGAGAGGAGCACTCGAAAAGAAAGGAGAATCGCATGACTCCCTCGCCTCATCAATCGCGCCTTTTTCCTCCACCTAGTGGTGTTCAAACGGTTGGTTACCGTGGTAACCGTTTTAACCGGTATTATTTGGATAATTTGGTTTGGTTAATTTGGATAATTGGTTTGGTTTGGTTTGGTTAAAGTTTTTAGCTTGTTTGGTTTAAGTGGTTTGGTTTGATTTCAGACACTCCTAACCAGTCAAACCAAATTAACTAGTTAAGTAATTAGTCATATATCTAACTTATATTATATACACATACTTAATACTTTGCATAATCGCTCAAGAGATAACGTTCATCCTTTTTAGACTCATAAAACATAAAGCTCAATATTGCTCATATAGTGTATATTTATATATGTAAAGTGTAGACCACAACATATGGACGCCTAATTTAGATAAATTTCATACATTATGATGGATGAAAACTTGAAAGGAAGGTCATTTCCAGCCTATGATAATTGCTAAGAGTTTAAGTTAATTTACACAAACACAACAATTCATTAACCCATACCATTGTTATAAATTTTTGTTAGGTGAATACTTCTATACTAATTGTAAGATAATTGTCTTAGTTGCATGTATTTTTGTTAAGGGTCAACTATAACTACGTGTTGATTGTTATGTTTTTATTCATTATATAAATTGCGAATTGTTGCATTAACCGGAAAATTTTCATCGTTAAAGATAATGTGATTTTTTTTATGAAGAAAGATAATGTGATTTTATATTGGTTAATCTGGTTAACCAATTAACCAAACCGATTAAACTTTAGTTTGGTTAATTTGGTTGTTGTATTAGTTTGGACGGTTTGGTTATGATATTGTATTCCATGGTTAATGGAATTTAGCCTTATTTGGTTTGGTTATAACAATGGTAACCATTTGAACACCCCTACCTCCACCCACTTGATTATCCAATGTTTGATGGTTTGCTTGATAATAAGTCATTGCAAAGATTGATGCGGGTTCCGGACTTAGGGTTTGGATCAAATATGCGACTCGTTTTAAGATTGATAGTTTCGAATATTAAACATGATGTGTGAGACGACTCGTTTTAAAACTCTTGTGGGACTGCAGGCAGCTTTGCCCTTGCGGGGATTTGGAGTCTCAGAATAGCTATTTAATTCCTCAGGTGATTTTATCATTGCGCGACATTCATTTTGTTTCGATCTTTCCCAACAACCGAGTTAG